GGTCACCGGCCATGGGTCCCTTTGCAGTTCTCCAAGTAGATCTGTTAAATTCATGTCAATCTTATGTACCGGCTGCAGAAACCTGAAAAAATTCAAATAAAATTTTTTCCTGCTTAGAAGTTTAGAGAAGAAAGTGCCTCTTTGTTCCTGGCACATGTAAATTGCACTGAAATAGTTGTCAGAAGCAAAAAGTCACGTGGTATGTTCCCTTCTTGCATCCAAACTTTCCAAGATAACAGGCCTGTGCAAAAGAAAAGAATTGATCAAAGCAAGACATCAGGAACTGACAAGAAGGCAAAGTCACATAAAGCACAGGAAAGAACTTCGTGCACAGGAAAGAACTAAAATGCACAAGAGCTCCCACTGAAAAAGAGGAGCCGAGAAAGAGACAACTGTATTCAACAGAGACACACAGCTTTACTGTTCAGAGGCCACTGCATGCCTGTCAATTGTTTTTTGGACTTGCTAGGTCTGGGGGTAGGAGGTGGTACATAAGATTGTTATGCAGAGACTAGGCTCCCCATTGGCTCTTGCCCTTGCTCCAAACAACTCCTGAGCAATATGCTTTCCAAAGACAGCTGCTCGGTGTTTTTCAAGTAGAAATGTACCCTGAATGGCAATCATGTTCTTACAACTGCAAAACCAAGATATGATAGAAGTCTAATCCATTGCCTGCAGCTCTAGTAAATCCCATCCATACCTATCACTTGATGTATGGAAATAACTTCGACAAGACAATACCATTTAAATCTTCTTACAAAGACTCCTCTTGGGAAACCTAGGTTTAGAAGCGTGACCTTAAAGGGACAGAAAACATCTGCCCTGCTCTTCTGCTGTGCTGATGCAGCTTACCTGCTTGAAATAACAGGTTGCTCTGGAGTTTGAAGAGGTCTTCCCTGTTGAATGGGGACAGCTGGCCTTGAAAGCCCAAGCATATCCTAGAGAATAGCAAAAAGGAGACAGAGGAGATGTGCTGTTCAAACATTAAACATCTTATTTGCTGTCAAGCAATATATACTGAGGCCTGCAATACTGTAGCATTAAATACATTAAAATCTGTGAGATTATTAATCTTTGCCTTCCCAATAGGAATGGATCAATGGGTCCACTATGCGAGATACACAAACTCTTATCTTGGACGAGCTTCCAAGGAATTTACAAAGGCAAAAAGGCAGGGCAGATACTGGGAGGGCAACAGGCTAACAGTTAAGAGCACTGAACCTTCCTTCCTCCCTGAGAGCCCAGCGCTTGGAAGACCAGCAGCAGTGTCACCAGAGCTTATGAGGACAAGCCACTGGCCTAAGAGATGGCAGAACGTACCTGTATTTGCTTAGCTGTCAGGTCCTTCGTGCCTCTAAACACGTAGCTCTTGGAAATCCCTTCGCAGCTCAGCTCGTGAACCTGGACCATTCTGCCAAAAGTGATAAGCCCCACCAGAGCGTCGGGAGGCAGCAGACTTAGGGACATCTGGAGGGACTCCTTCAGTGCCTGCAAGTCGTCCTCTTCCAAGCACGTGTCGACAACATACAGGAAGATTAATGGCGTCTGCGGACCTCGCTAATGTGGAAAGAGATGAATTTACTAGGTGCGTGCAGATGCCAGGTGACACTTTATAATGCCTCCAGCCAAGGAATAAAATGAGCCCTATCTTAAGCACCTTGCAGAAATGTTATTTATTGGCATTAGCTTAAGTAAATCCCATACATACACAATCTGTCACAAACAAGACAATTCTGGGGGCTCCAAACTTGTCTATGATTCATTTACCTGCACTATATATTCAATCGTTGAAAACTGAGGCATAAGCTCTGCTGGTTGATTGACTTCAGATATGCCTGCATATGCTGGAGGGAACTGAAAAAGAGAACAAAAAATCAGGACAAGGAAGTTGCAGGACAGAAATGTAGGGTCCTCCTCTGCAGTACAGAGGCGGTCCTGCTCATGATGTGGTTATTCAACTCTTATTTACTGCCACTGCACCAACCTGATTAATTCATGACAAGAGACCCATACTGCTGTTTTCCTAAGCACAGGCATCAAGTGGCCAGCAGTATCGATCCAGTGTAAATAAAAGGCAGGACTAAAGCAGCGACTGTACGTTAGCTGAAATTCATTTAGCCACGCGACAGTTTCTGATGGCAAAAGTCTACTAAAATCTAATGAATTTCATACTCAGTGAGAACAGTAAATGTCAAGTTCAAAAAACACACTGGAAACACATGAGACAAAATAGCATTATTTATCTCCTTCCTATGCCGTGCATGCTGCTAAAAACACTGGCTAAACTGAACTGCAAACAGACAAGATATCAGGTAAAACTGACCCGTTAACAAGTACTCTGGCCTGGGTTCAGCAAGAGAAAAAGGCCAACGGAAGGAATCTAGAAAAGTGGAACTTATGCTTAACATCCTTTGCCAGGGGAAGTCGTCGATTAAATGATTGCTGAAAAGTTGGAAGGGTTGACACGTTTTCCAACTTACCTGATTTCTCTGAAAACAGAAGTTACAAGCCCAGAGCTTGGCCCGATAGTCAACTTGGCTGCAAGGGAAAGATGAGGCATTAGTATAATTATAGGAACAATTTTACAGCATAGCTTCACAATTATCTATGCTGGTTCACAGCACTGAGGAAGAAACCGAGTATCAGACACTCCAACTTGAATGACAAGAGTTTTAGGGATTCAGACTCTTGTTCTATTGCCAGAATGTCCATTAGCTCATCCAGCCTTGCCACTTCCAGGCTTGTCAGCGTGACTGACCAGTGACAGCTCTCTCGAGCCTAGCCATTGGCAGACAAAGACTTGGGTCTAATCATTCTTTCACTACACCTGGGCTTATCTCAGTTGTCTGTTTGTACAGCTGTAGCACACAAGTACTCCACTCACACAGAGCAGCAGGAGCCATTCACTCAGATCCCGTGCAAACACTGAACAAATAGGCTGTTCCCTGCCCCAAAGAATTTACTCTCCTCAGCCTGTTACGACATCCTGTTAACTGCTGGTGCAGTAAAGCCTGGCCATATTCTTATTTCATGGGCTTGATCTCAATTTACTTCCTTTTACTGGCCTTCCCTGCTTTTTCTCAGCCCAACGCTATGCTCTGAGTATATACAATCATCACGTGATTTTGGGACCAAGATTATTCCTCTTAAATTCTCAACAAAACTTCAAATAAAACCTTGATGCTTATACTGGAACTGACCTACAAACAGCAGGATGTGTAGTAAGCACAAAACCAAGTGAACATCACAGCCCAGAGGACAATATCAGTATAATGGGCATTTCTGTTGATTTTAAGTTTCATCATTCACCACAAACTGGGATGGTAAGAGGATTGGCCATTTCCATATCATCCCTGCCTTAACAGCCTCCCCAAAGGCTCTCCTCTCTCCTCTGGTTCTGGCAGCTCTAGTAACAAACCGGCATTCAACATATCTCATTAGGCACACATGGATTTTAACAAACCCGCTACACCTAAATGAAAGAGGTTGCCAGGCACCAGGCAGAGAAAAAGGGGAATAAGGAAATAGCAAAGTTCAGATAAAAACTAGGTACTATCCAGCCTCTCTTAACATCCCCAGTCAAGAAATTCATACCAGAGTGGGTTGAGCACCGCTTTGCAAGTTGGCCTGCTACAAAGCACTGGTTCATACTGCACAGGCGGCAGGTCAAGACGCTCCTTCAGCGGGGTCAGAAGACAGGCCAGAGGGACAACCATCCTTGTGGCCTCCAGCCTGCTGGAGGGCCACACGTTCCAGCTGAAACGCACTCCGTCACGCTCCTCATTTTGCTGGATGAATTCCAAGTACGTCGCCATGGGATTGCAGAAGATCTGAAAGGACGTAAGCAACATATTTTCAGGCAACGGTCGCCTGTTTGGACAACAGTCCTGCAAAGGAGGTCAGCAGATCAACTACAAGTAGGCACAAGACATTGCAGGACAAAGTCAATACATTACCATGAGTTCATCCCATTATCAAATGAACCGTGTGACTACATTAATCTCTTCTGTCCAGTGCTCTCATCAACATTCCACATAATTAAAACATTACCAAATTCAATGAAAAAACAAGGAAATCTGACACTCAAAGCCAGAATGCAAATTGGTGGGTTTTTTTCTTGTGATCCACATTTAACATCCCAAAACCCACTCAGCCTTGTGCTGGCTTCAAGGCAATCCTGCCTGACTCGGGTCCGTAAAGAAAAACAGGTATTTGCAATACATCCTGAAGCCTTTGGCTAAAACCTTGAGAGGAGAAAAGGAGGCCAAGTTTGAAACCAAAACACTAATCACTAGTGTCACCTGGTTGCCAGCCTGACCGGCTTACAAATGGAAAGAAGCAGACGATAAAAAGGTCAAAAAAAAGTCTTCAGTGATTTTAGATACCCTCTGTGCATGGCACCATGTGCCACTCCCAGTGAGGGAGGAATTGAGAGTCTAGCAGACTTCAGAAGAGACACACTGTTCAAGGAAGGATATCCCCAACACACCAGAGAAGCCACTCTCTGTATTGCCTTACTAAACTCTTCAGAGTAAGATGCAAACAAGAGCTCCCAGGCCATCATTACCTTTGATGTCTCTGAGAAAGGGAAGGACAAGCCTACGAAAAAACTCACTTATCAAATCCAGCCCACCAACACCACAGAGCACTGGCAGCAACTCACAGAGCCAAGAGCAGCAACAGCACGACCTGCTCCACCCAAGGAAACTCAGAGGTTCACCTGTGGCTGCAGATGTTCCAAGATTACCTTACTCCTGGTCCTCACAGCAGGCAAGAGATTCAGGAGGGCCATAGGTGTGAGAAATCAGAGGCATGACCTCCATCAGAGAAGGAGAAGTTCTAACGCAACATTTTCCTACAGACTTCAAATCTCATCGATATTTTCTTTGTCCTTGCTATCGAGGAGGTAAATCAAGCTCACAGGGAGTTGCCCTGTATTTCCACCCCCACCTCTGGACAGACAAATGGAAGGGTTCAGCAACACATCCCCACCACAAATGGGTCTATCAGGGTAAAAGTCAGAGCTGAGCCTCCCTGTAAAACATCCCGCACGTCAGAACAGCAAGACAAACAGCTGACATCTCAGATATGCAGCACAATTGCAGCGTAAATTGACTCCACATTCCTCCATCTGCAGCCCAGCACTACTCCCCTGCCCCAGGCCGAGCCCTGACCGCCTGCCTCGGTTTGACATGGGCTGCGGCCCTGCTTTGGGGTCAGGACAGCAGGAGGGGAGGTGCCCCCACCCGAACGAGAGCTGTGTAGGGCCGGTTTTAGGGCCAGGTGCCTGCCCAATCTGCCTGCACAGCACAGGGCTCTGCGGCCCCAGTCCCACAGCAACCTCCAAGGCTGTTCCCCGCAGTGGGGAAATTCCAAATCCCCTGTCCAGGAAGGGACAGACCCTTCCAAAGCCTCAGCAGATGAGCGGTGGTAGTGTTGCAGTCTCTGTAGGGGATCTGCTGGAGGGCACACTGCTAACCCCTACTCCTTCCAGTAAAGCTATAGGGGATGCTGCTGCTTCCTAGCAGGGCTATAGGGAATGCCACAGATCACCCAGCTGCTGCGCTCAGCACAGCTGTAGGGGACACCACAGATCCCCAGCCCTTCACCAGGAAGTGTACAGAGGACACCACAGATCCCTAGCGAAGCCATAGGGGCCACCTCTGATCCCTACACTGCTGATCCCCAGCACTGCCATAGGGTAAAGCACTGACTCCCTGCGCTGCTACAGGTGGCATTGCGCCACAGATCACCCAGCTGCTGCGCTCAGCACAGCTGTAGGGGACACCACAGATCCCCAGCCCTTCACCAGGAAGTGTACAGAGGACACCACAGATCCCTAGCGAAGCCATAGGGGCCACCTCTGATCCCTACACTGCTGATCCCCAGCACTGCCATAGGGTAAAGCACTGACTCCCTGCGCTGCTACAGGTGGCATTGCTGCCCCTCAGCACAGCCACAGGGGACACGGCTGACCCCAGCCCTCCCCTGTGGGACACCGCCAGGCCCCATCACAGTCCTGGGAGACACTGCTGACCCCCAGGCCGGGCAAAGCTAGGGGGAACACCGCAGAGCCCCCAGCACTGCTCTGCGGGACGCTGCTGATCCCCATGCAAGCACTGGTGTAGGGGACACCACTAACCCTCCATAGCCCCTCCTGTAGGAGACACCACTGACCCTCCCCAGCC